GGCAGTGAAGCCTGTCTGGCTCTGCTTTTGTGGAGTGCTGGTGGGAACAGGTGGTACTTATGTCCTGGTCCAAAGGCCCCTGGCCTGGACCTTGCATGGACCTGGCCCCTGGCATGTCCCCTGTGCAGAAAGGGATGTATGTGGTCATCTCATTGCACAAAGACTGGTTTGGAACCTAATTGTATTTATCAGCCTAAAGCCATCGATTATTGCTTGTTGATGTCAAATGTACTGTTGCATATGATGCACTAATCCTTATATATTGTAATCAAAGAGCAAAAGTAAATAAAAATCCGCTTGGCTTTCTAGGGTATCGTGGCAGTAAAGCCAGGTTGAAGGTCAAAGATGAGTCGTGCCTCTTTGGTCTTTGTAGAACTAGGCTGAAGCTAGGCAGATCAAGATACTAAAGAGAAGGAGTAATTGGATCATCTTTTTCAAATTCTGAATAGTGTACAGCTCAAATTGGGACCTTCTGTAATTGTCAGATCTTTCTTTAGTACATTTTATTAGATGACTAACAAAAAAATGAAATGTTATATAGTTATATATATGGATAGTTTTATATATATATAGTTATAGGGGGTGTAATTTAGGGATTCACAAAGGAACTTAATTCATTAGAAAGATTCATTACTAGTAATGTATAGACATCTTCAAAACTGATCCAATTTGTAGGGGATAAATCTGTTTTCTTGGTTTCTTACTGCATAATCCCAAGACTTGAATTGGATTTTCCTCTCTTCTTTTGTGTAAGCCTAGTTTAAAAGAAAAAGCCAAGTCACGGATTTGGTAAAATGCAAACAGTTTCACATTTGTAGACATACTGTCTTGTCTGTTTGGCTCTGCAAAATTACACTTTCCTGATATAAACAGTAAGCTGCTTAGGGAAGAATTCCAGCAATTTGCCTTTCCCAACCTAGCACATAGCAGCCAGCAGGCAATTTATGTACAGCAACTCCCTGTTCTTGTTTAATTTCCTCAGACAAAACAAGAGATTGCAGTGGTGCCTGCCAGTTCAAAGCAGCACAAAGTGTTTCTCTGGCCTGTGTCTTCACCTCATGAATCAGGAGGTGAGAGCCAAACGGCCTTAAGAGTCCTCCAGTCCTTTGTTTTACTCATGACAAACTGAGGTTCAGACAAACTCACTAAAAGTTGCACAGTGCCTAAGTGCTAAGTCTGAGCCTTGAATTCTGTTTCCCTTAACCTTAAGCTTTTCCTTGATGTCCTTTCCTCTGGCTTTCTCCGTAATAGTTACTTCTGGTCTAGGATGAAAAGACAGCCTTTGGAGGGCATTGATTGTATCCCTGTTCTTAGAGTGGCAGCAGACGAGCAGACAGTATGATCACCAGTCGCTGTTTCTGGGATAAAGCCTGGTTCTGGAGCTGGAATTCCCATTCAGTGAGTGATGTGCAGGCTCTTTTCTTTCTTTCTAGGGGATTCCAGGGCATACCCTGGCCATTATGGACCAGCCTGGTCCAGTGATGAATGGATCAGCCTTACTCAGCCTTGCTGCCTGTGAGCTGGGTTTAATTAACCCTTCTGATCGAGTCCCAGCTTCCTGATTAAACATTGCAGGGGCCTGGAATCCACTATACAGTTACTGTGATGTATGTAACTATAAACTGCAATGGAAATATGAAATATATGTGGTAGAGATGTGCTGGAGTGAAGAATCGGAAGGAATAGACGGTGGCTATAAGGGATTAGCATCTTTGTGTTTCTGCACAGAGACATGAAATAGATTGTACAGACTGTGTGACTTCTCAGCTCTTGTGGAATACATTGTTGAAGGGGTGTGCTCCCCAGGTAAATCTGTTTGAAAGCTTAAGTTGGAAAATCATATTTCTTTCTTGTATGATAAGCAAATCAGCCAGAGAGGTGATTTTGGTGTCCCTTTTCTGAGCACTGGGAAACCACAGCAGTCTCTCGATGAAAGCAGAAGTATGTTGTGACTTTGGGGGAGAAGTGGTGAATAACTGAACTGTTGGATGGATTTATAGAAGGAATAAAAATATTGTTTTAAAAAGTTATTTTCGAACCTGGAGTACCTTCAGTGGGTTAAGTTTGTGCCTTGTAACGAGAAAGGCACAGAAGTGATACGTAGCTAGGTCCCTATTCAGGAGAGTTTTACCTTCTAATTGGTCCCAGACAGTCACACAAGGTTATCTGTGATTTCAAACCCAGACAGTGCCAGAAGGGAAAATAGTTACGGACCTGGAGAAGAAAGAGTTCATGCAGGGTAACAGGGAGACAGTAGCCATTTTGTAAATTGTGAATGTGAGATTTGGATTGTTACAAAGAAACGACAGGCTGCAGTTAAACTCTGAGTTCAGCATAGAATTTAGGGGAGAGTGGAAAAGTCTTGGCTGGAGAGGAGGTTGGAATTTGGCAAATGGTAGAGGCAAGAGTGGATAATTAAGACTGGGATAGCATTTTGACTTCAGGCCTAGAAATAAAGGTTCTAAAGAAACACATTGGTCTTTGGTGTGTGTGTGTGTGTGTGTGTGCGCGCATACATGCATTTCCAACAACCCTTGGTAGGTTTTTGGCTGGGAGCTCCCAGTGCAAGGTGCTGCCTTTAAGAGTTTCTGCTTACTCTGCTAGTGACTGAGAAGCAGGAACAGCCGAAGCTGGCCATTACACAACGCACTGTGACACACTGACCCCAGTACTTCCTATTTCCATCTGCAGGGCCTAGTGGAAGGAACCATTTCAGTGGATGTTAGTGAGTAAGGGTTCGGGGGAGTGTCAAGGATGTGAAGTCTCTATTTTCTGTAGAAAACTTGCCATGTATTTGGTGGACAGAGCATTTGACTCAACTAGCAGTTGAAGGAGTTGAACTGGAGTGGAAGGAAGACCAGCAGCTGCAGCCTGTTAACCCATGAACAGGCCTGACAGCCCAAACCCCTGAGCTCTGTGCGGTTTCTCCCAACTTCCCTTGCCAGCCGTTCTCTGTTCTGAATTCACAGGCTCGTTCAAAAGCTCCATAGTAAATAAGTTCCAGCATCATTTTTCCAACCTTCTTGCCAAGACTGCAGAAGAACACTCTTTGGGTGACCTTAAGAGGTGGCTGGAGGTGCGCTCGCTCCCACTCGCAGATTGTGGTTAAGCTCAGAGAAGCAGGAAGCTGCCACCTCTGGCAGTGACAGGGACCCCGTTCTCCACTCATGATGAGTAGGGCTGGCTCCTCTGGGATAGGCACATAGAATGAGCGGGCCTCCTCGTGCTCTCTGGGGCTGCAGAGATGGGAAGCGTCTTTAGAGCTTTTTCCATGGAAGGATCCAGAATGCTCATCAGTACAGTGAAGGCAAGATCTGCTTTAAAATAAAATACAGCTTCACTGATGCATAGTGTACCTACCATAAAATCCATATATTTTAAGTATATGATTCAGTGACTTTTAATAAATTTACAGAGCTGTGTGATGATTGCTATACCCCAGTTTGGGGCCGTTTCCATTTCCCCAAAGAGCTGCTGAATGGCAAGCTTGCTCACTGCTCTCATCTCCAACTCTAGGCAACCAATAATCTATACTGTAATAGGGCCGGGGATTTAGCTCAGTGGTTCCACCGCCTGCCTCACAAGCACAAGGTCCTGAGTTCGATCCCCAGTACAAAAAAAAAAATCTATACTGTAATAGAACACTGAACATTTTAAATGAATTGAATCATAAAATACATGGTCTTTTGCTTCTAGCTTCTTTCATGTAGCACATTGGTTTTGAAGTTCATCCATAGTGCAGCATATATACATATATATATATATGCTCCTCTCAGATTTTGCCCTCCTCCCCGTACCAGGGATCAAACTCAGGACCTTGTGCTTGCCGGGCACCCGCAGCGCTGCTGAGCTACATCCCTGGCCCTAGCTCTCAGATTCTTATCCACCTCTTGTGCCATATAAGATGAAACACAGCTTCCAGAGATCTGATGTGTGGGTATCTTTTGGCAGGGTTTGCTTTTTTTTTTTAATCCTACAACAGCTCTGAGCATTCAGATAAGGTTTTTTTGTAGACACATGGTTTCATTTCTCTTTGCAGATACCTAGAAGTAGATTTGCTGGGTTGTGTGGTAAATTTATGTTTAAGCAGCCCCCAAACCGGTTTCCAAAGGGGCTGTCATTTTGCGTACTTGTCAATCTGATAGTTCTGATTTCTCCACATTCTTGCCAAATGACTGCTTTTTAAAAAAATTGCAGCCTTTCTTCTTGTGGGTGTGAAGTAGTATCTGATTGTGGCTTTAATTTGCATTTCCTTGGTGACTAATAATGTTGTATATCTTTCTTGTGCTTATTAGTCACACAAAATTTTTGGCTAAATGTCTATGCAAAGCGCTAGCCTGCCTCAATGTTGGCTTGGCACCTTCATTGTTGGCTGTGAGTTGCTCTGCTGTTTTGATCAACCTGGGCCAGGCATTGCAGTCCGAAGGACCGTAGAGGCTGAGGTTGCCTTTATCAGACGTGCTGGGGCAGCCCCGCTCCCCGGGGTGTTTGGCGTGGGGGCAGGGTGTCATCCCTGACCTGTCCCCTGTATTAGTCTGTTCCTAAAGGGTAGATGGCACGCTCCTGTAGCCTTTTGGCCACTAAATTCTGTGTCAGGGAAACCAATAGATGGCTCCCTCGTGTCCTAGAGATTATAGGATTAGTGAACTGGGTTTTTCTTTCATAATGCTTATCCTAGTTGTAATTAAAGTTATTTCTGTGATTATATATTTAAGATCTTTCTTTCCTCCCTCAGACTGTTAAGTTCTCTGGGAACAAGGATCATGCCTCTGTGTTTTTGTCACTCTCTCGGCAGTCTCTAGTATCATATGTGGTGCATAGTAGGCAACCAGTCGGTATTTGTTGGATGGAGGGAATGTGGTTCCACTCTGCTTCACCATGGGTGATTCACAGGAAATCACTTCATAGACGGTTGTTTGTTGAATAAATCATTCAGTACCCCCCGAATATGCCATGAAGTCATGTGCATTCTAACTTCACCCTTTCTTCCTCATTTCCAGTGATCTATAACTACAATGCTTCTCAAGATGTGGAGCTCTCCTTGCAGATTGGTGACACGGTTCACATCCTGGAGATGTATGAGGGTAAGTGTGGCTGCCCCTCCGCCAGACAGGGGCAAAGAAAAAGCAGCAGAGGTTACTTATTAATAAGGCACTTAGAGTAAACATCAGCATGCTTTACTTCCTGAAGCTGTGCTCGTAAAAATCCAGGAAGGACGCAGGTGATGTAGTATGTACTGAGAGTGATTTCAAAACACTCTGCTGGGAGTGCAGACATGCTCAGTTGAGGCCTGTGGGTGTGGGAAGGATGCTGTTTTTGTCCCCTACCCTCTGGATGCAGAAGGGTCAGTGACAGAGCTGGGTCTCGAGAAGACACTGGGCACATTGGGCTGGCAGTAGCTGGAAGGAAACGTTGGGTTTCTTTCTATTCAGCGCTGAATGTTGCCAGGTTGGGGGAGAGAGTTGGTACTGTTACTGAGATTCTTTCAGAAAATGAGGTCAGACCTACACCAGAAAGTACTGCTTGAATATTTCCTCTAATTAGGTCAGGCTTAGGGGTGGTTGCGGTTAAATTGTTACTGGTCAGTAGGACTGCACTTAGGACTGTTCGTCTGCAAAGCACAGGTCCTGTCTGCACCCTGCACCTCAGGCTTGTAGCTTCAACTCTGGTTCGCTAAACTCTAAGAAAAGGCTCTTTCCGTGTGTCCACATCTCTAATGCCAGCTCCAACAGCAGCAGAAGCTCATAAAGGCCACTGAAGTTGAGGGTTGAAGCAAAGAACAACCTTCAAGGCCTGGTTATTTCCTGTGGAAGTTGGGACAAGAACAAGGTGGGAGGCCAGGCAGACTTTTCTCATAGATGCAGCTTGTCGGAGCAGGCACTGCGCTTGCAAGATCTGACTCTCATGTAGATGCTTGTGATGATGGAGTGACAAAGTTTTCATCTAGACTCCCATGAAGGTGCCGATGCCAGGGAAGAATGATGCAGGAGGAGGAGACAGGAATCCAGGAGGAAAGGAATTAAAGTTTGCCCGGAAAAAAATCTAAATCACCCACTTGGTTGCTTTGACTGCTGCCTCCCTTTCTTTTTTGGTGGAAGGCCAGGGTTTTGCGTTATCCTTTCCCTTCTGCACAACTCCCTGTAATGATAATACTTAGAGGCAGGAGTGGACGGGGGAGGCTCTGTGGGGTCTTCATCCTTGTCGTCTCAGGCCTGGCCAAGTATTGTTTCTACATCACCAAGGGACTTGTGGCAACTTCTTTCTCTCTTTGGGACTCCTTTGGGTATGGAATCCACAGTCAGACCTCTTCATCAAGGAAGCAGAAGAATGCGCTAGGTGCTTTCCTTGGACACAGATTTCCCCGTTGTGCAAATAAAAACCATGTGTTCCATTTCTGTAACTCTTGAACATGAGCTAAGAAAGAACATACATTTGAGGATCACTGAGTACAGAGTTCTACATAGGACATTTGCTTTCTGTCATCCTTGTTTACTTCTTTGAAGATATGAAGAATAATTATTTTCCCAACGTTTTATTATGAAAAATTTCAAACATCTCGAGAAGCTGAAATAATTTTACAGTGAACATCTACCTACCATTTATATTCCTTTTAATTTCAATTTGTATTGCTACATGTTTGCAGTATGTAATGGTTTTACTTCTAATCGGGCGTTGGTACATGGACGTAACACAGCTTAATTCTTTTTCCATCTCCTTCCCCTCCTGTCCCCCCACCCTCCATCTTTTTGTCCCCTTCGCTTTTTTTTTTTTTTGGTGCCGGGGATCGAACTTGTGACCTTGCGCTTGCGAGGTAGACACTGGAACCACTGAGCTAAATCCCTGGCCCCCTGTCCCCTTCGGTTTTACAAAAGATCTATCTTGGGCCGGGATTCAGCTCAGTGGTTTTGCCACCTGCTGTGCAAGTGCAAGGACCGGAGTTCGATCCCTGGTACCAAAAAAAAAAAAAAAAAAGATCTATCTCCTTGCTCTTGCTTACTGTTATCTGTCTTTTATTCTGTTCTTTAATGTATTTATATTTTTGGTTTCTCATGTAACAAGAAATCACGCGATATTGAAGCACATGTGTCTGATTTATTTCAGTTAACATAACAGTCTCAAGGTGCATCCATTTTCCTACCCAGGACTCCTGTAAACTAGTACGACCACTGTGGAAACCAATGTGGAGATTCCTCTAAGAGCTAAAACTAGAAAGTCCATTTAACCCAGCTATTCCCCTTCTAGGTGTCTTCCCCAAAGGGTTAAAGACATCATATGACATGGATACATGCATACCCATGTTTATAGCAGTACAGCTTATAATAGCTAAAGCTTGGGAGCAATCAGTATGTCCATCAGCAGATGAATGGATAAAGAAAATGGGGTATTTATCCATAATGGAGTACTACTCTACATAGAACATTTGAATTTTAATTTTGTGATCCTTTTTCAAATTTGCCAACTTATTTCTGTCCCTGAGAGAAGTGTGTTAAATCTCCCACTATGACTCCTGCTCTTTTGCATCTTGCTTTATATATTTTAAGAGCTGTTTTTAGGTGCCTACCATTTTAGAATGGTTGGGTTATACAGTTTTAGTTTTTAATTCCTCCTTATTAAACCTTTGATCATTGTCTTCATCTTCATAATGCTTGACTCTATTTTGTCTGAAATTACAGCCAGCTCATTGGCAGGGCCAGGTCTCTAATTTCTGTCCTCCTGGTCTCACAAAGGCAGTCAGAAATGCTGCTCCATGACACTGAAACATCCTTTCTCACATCATCAGGTCCCCCAAGAAGAATACAGTAGTCACAAATAGTGTGCTGTCCTTTTGGGTTTGGGCCTTCTGCAAATCTTCTGGTAATTCTTCATTGCTACATTCATTAGGTTGTGTGTTGTTTTGCCAAACTTTCCTAATTATCCTATGGCATGTGGCAGGGAAGAATGGAGTATTGATGGTGACCTGAAATAAAATGGATATTCTCTTTAGAATGCATTACACTTTTAAAAATTTAATTTAATTTTTTATTTCTCTTCATTTGAAATACATTCTTAAGATTCTGTTTTCATTTTTATGTGACATAGAATATTTTTTGTGATAGGTAAATAAACCCACTTTGTCCTCATAGGACATATATTAACAGTAATTTTAAACAACTTTATTGGTATATGTCTAGTACATTACGATGACATTCATCTTGGGGAGTTGGTACATGCACATGACATTTCTCATTTCCTTTTTAACCCCCTCTTCCTCCCTCCACCTCTTGGTCCCCTCATATATATATTTTAATACATGTTTGTGGTACATGATGAGCACATTCCTTGTAGGGACTTGGTAAATGTACATAGCACTTCACAATCCCCCCTTTTTTATATTGATCTCCTTTCCCTTCCCACCTACCCCTCCTTCAGTTCCTTCCCATATGCAAATTGTAATTGTAAGTATGCTCACTACTGAACCAAGTGCTCCCACAGCTGGCCAGTGCACGTTTCCAAACGCAGCATTTCCATGGACCCAAACTAATGTGGTCACTGAACTGAATTGGACCCACAAGTGCATGTCTCTTTGGATTTCAGACCTTATTTAAAAAAAAAAAAATACTTTGGAACATCGGCATATACATGAGATATCTTGGGGGATAGGACCCATCTCTGGACACAGAATTGTTTATTTCTGATACAAGCTTTTGTATCTAGCCTGGGGGTAATTTTTATACAATATGTTCAAAACTTTTCTCATGAAGTTTCAACTTTTGGAGCATTTCAGATTTTGGATTTTGGGATTAGGGATTCTCAAGATGTACTAAATGTAAACACAGGCATTCAAACGTATCCATGTCAGATACCCTGAACTTCAGTGCAAAAAGTCCTAACTTCACAGTACTTCTAGTATATTGCAGTGCACACATCGTAGGTGTATGGGAAGTGCTGGCCCATTTGACGGTTGTATGAAAACTGTTAACTTTATCAATCTGAATGCATCTTCACATGATGATCCAGGAGCTGTAGGTCCTGCCTGCAAGAAGCCAGTTTTCTTGCTAATTGCTTGCTGCGTCAACCGTAGAATGCTTTCATCTCAGAGAGGGACACCAGGGCTGGTTCTTTAAATGTGGCCATATGACCCATGTGAATCAGGAGACTGTGAACAGGAGCCCACTTCTTGGGCTTGCTGAGGTCAGTAACCACCAAATGGCATGACAGCTTCGCAGAATGATTATTATATTGGGTTGTACTTTTTAATAGTGTTAGTATTATGGCATTAATTTTAAAATAGTGCCTGCCTAGAGGCCCAGGGTTAGGTTCTTGTATCTGCTAAGCACTTAAGAGTTCTTGGCTGGAATCTCGAATTCCTTTTTTATTTCAGGCAGCTCAGGATTAAGTGAGGGCAGGAGAGCTTTGCAAACATTAAACACCCTGCAAATGCTGAGTAACAACTTGTGTTCAATCCCTCCTCTCCTGCTTCATTTTTATTTCAAAACAAATGCATACAATGGAAACACCCAGGGTACTGCCAGACGGACTGTATAGCTAACACTGGCACCATTTCTTGCTCCAGGGATTTTGTGTCTGGCAACTTCCCGTTGGTGACTCCTGGGGCTGTCCCTCTGCACTTTCTGCTCCACCCTGCCTTTGAGATATGCATACCAGATCTGTGTGTGCTTTTCAGCAGTTTGGACAGCAGTCCACCCAGACAGAGAAAATTCTTTTCTGCCCACAACCCACAACAGAACGCCATTGAGGACTCTCCTTGGACTGTTTCCTGCCCTGCAGTTGAATGAGTGATTCCCCCAGAGTGGTGTAGCTCTTTTGATGGTACAGATGGCTCCTTCTTTATCTGCAGGTGCTTGTCTGCTGCTGTTGCTCCTGACAAACAGTAGGTGCTCAGCAGAAGCCTGTGGAATGCACAAAGATGAAAAGGGAGATGATGGCCAGCCAACATAGAGTCAGGGGTCAGGATCCCCTCCATAGCACCTGAGGTGTTGCAAGGCAGAGCTGCTCGTCCCTGCTAGGAGGGAAATGCAGGAGCTTCTTTGTAGCCTGCAGAAGGATTTGGCCAATGCTTCCATTTTTATTTTTGTTTTTATTT